ACAATATAGGTATACTTAAATAGTTAAATGGAATATATTGTTAATGCAATTCATTAAAAAATCAATAGAATTTGAAAAAGTATTGAATTAATAACACATAATAAAATAAAAATGTTTACTGATATTTTAATCTGACATACATAACATTTAATCTATAGTAAAAAATATGTTAAACAAAACAATTTTAAAAACTAATAATGTATACCTATACCTGCCTAACAAAACTGAAAATATAATTATATAATAAAACTGATAACGGTGTTGTCACTTTAACGAGATAAAATGAATTGCTTTGAACTATTATGATTATTAATTTTGCTACGGTTATTCGCGTCATCATAATCGAAAAATATTTCGTAGAGCCAATATAGCCATCGTTATCACTATATAATTAATGTAACATACATTTTAGTGATGTGTGATTATTTATTAATATCTTTGAAGAACAAAATCTTAACAACCTGTTCAAAAAATAAAGATTTAAAATTTAAGTTGAAACAAACGTATATTTTGTTTCGATTTTATAAAACCAGAACAGAGGTAGAAGGTATTTATTTAAATAAATATTGTTATAATTTTTATTCCTCTGTAAAAAAAATTTAACTTTTTACAGGCTTAAAGTATCTTTCAATTATAATATTCAATATTAAATAGGTAGGTATTTATAAAGTACTTAGTCACGCGTGTATAATTAATCAGTTCATTGAAGTTGAGTTATTTAGTTAATCACAAATATTTCATATATTTTATCTATATACATCAAATTAAGAGATTTATTGACCTTTAATTAGAATATTTTATTTTAGATTCTGAGTGAAACGATGAATGTATTGATTTTACAATGATGTGTGTTTTTTTATTTTTTTTTTTATTTTTTTATTTTTGTGTCTGTCATCACGTTTTAGGACAGTAAAAGTGCTTGGATTTTCTTCATCAGTAGCTTTTCTGATAGGAAAGTGAATCTAGTTGGTACTTTTGGGGGTCAAAAGTATAAATTTCCCAGTAGTTTTCACAAGCGCCGGGAAAAAACAACATAAAAATTAAGGAAAAACGGGAATTTTTACGCAAAATTGGTTTTCCAAAAAATCGATTTTGGTTTTTGGTGTAACTCTGAAACAAATGAACGTATATACATGAAATTTTCACTGGTTGTTTATATTTGCATTTTCTATACACGATAACATTTTCAAAATATTTTGATTTATTTTGAACTGTTTAGGGACATTTTCATTTTCCATTTTTTTTTAGTTTTTTTTCTAAAAATATCAATAAAATTTTATTTGTTGGTTGCGAAAGCTTGAAAATTTAATAGAAGGCTCCTAATATATTGCTTCAAAGGCAGATGAAAAATATTAAAAATCCTTAGTCACAATTTTTTTTTATAAGCATTTAAAGTTCAAAAATTGACAAAATATGGGAAAATCACGAAAATTAGCAAATTATTTTGAGTTAAGAATTCGTAAAAATTTTTCTTTTTAAATCTAAGATTTGAAAATTAAACACAAGATTCCTTATAAGTTTGTCTACCTTTATCAAAAGAAAAATGTTTATAAGAAAGTCAAATTAAATTTTTATGAGCGTTTGAAATTCAAATTTTTACAACATTGAATATTCACTCGATTTCCCATGTAGTGATTTCCTTATTTTGTTGTAATTCAAAAACAAATAACTGTAGATACATGAAAATTTCACTGAATGTTTAAATTAGCATTTTCTATACACCATACAATTTTGAAAATATTTTGACTCTTTTTGAGCTGTTTATGGACATTTACAGCTTTCAATTTTTTTTAGTTTTTTTTTCTATAAATATCAATAAAGTTTTATCTGTTGGGCCAAAAAGTGTAAAAATTTAATACAAGGCTCCTGATATATTGTTATAATATCAGTTGAAAAATATTAAAAATACATAGGCACAGTTTTTTTTTATAAGCATTTAAAGATCAAATTTTTACAAAATTTATCAAAATCTCGAAAATTATCAATCATTGTAATTAATAAATTATAAAATGTTCAGTTTTTATAGCTAAGGATTGCAAATTCAACACAAAGGTTCTCGTAAATAGTTCATACTGTAACCAAAAAATCTAAAAAATATATGAACACAGTTATTTTTTACAGACATTTTAAATTCAAATTTGGACGAAATTTCATATTAAAAAACCTAGAATAACTATTTTAGTTATTTTGTTGTGATTGAATAATATTATTCGTGGATACTTGAAACTTCTAAAGTGTACTTTTATATATCTATGATAGTATCACGGTTTTTGTTGATGTATAACGCGTTATAAGTACCTAATGGATATTTTGATATGATTAATTTGGAATTTATTATAGGTACCCATTATAGGTCAATTTTTTGTTTAATACCATAGATATGTAAGTATATAATATGTCTTATACATAGACTGACATACCGTCTGCGCTCAGAATCGTTTTTCTTATACAATGATATTATATCGTTGAATTCAAATTTAATATCATCCATTATACAGTGACCCACTTGTAACCTACTGTACAGCAGAGCGACACCCACTTGCCCACCTTTTTACCTATTTAGATCAACATTGTATTACGTTGATACTATGATCATTAAAACGAAAAGCAAAAAACACAATATTTTAAGTAATATTTATTCCACTGCTATATATTATATTCATGCCATGTAAGGTATTGTGATTTGTGAGCATTGGAAGTAGTAAAATTTGTAATAATTGGCAAAATTCATTGTCACATAAAAAAATTATAGAAAAAGAAAAATATACAACAAAATATAGAAAAACAATCCAGAAAAAAAACGATGAATAGAGCAGTGACAATATGCTTATTGCTTACCTATATATATATATTAATACATTATCACGGTATAAATTGTCAGTTTAAAGTACGTTTTCGGGGCACATGGCACATGATTTTGGCGAGACAGATGTGGATTTTATGGCGACCATCCAAGTGTTGATCACGTTATACGTATTGTACGTAGATATACTTATCACCATGCAAAGCGTAACTCGGGCACTCTTTGATATATATTTATAATAATGTGTTAATACAATTATATCATGACAGAGAGTATAATAACAAATCCGTATATTATATATAGCCATATAGGTACGCATCATCGAATTATGTGATATGTGGTATACTATAGTATAATATACTCACTCCCGTGACTGGTACGGTTTAAACAATTTACGAAATATATAAATTTTGAAATGTTTCAATTTTTACAAAAATCTTTTGTCATGAATACCTATAGGCTCCTCTAACGATTTTATGAATTTCAGTTTTCATTGAAACATTACCATATGTATAATATATACCATTTGGCATTTCAACAGTTTATACAATCGACAATGTAAAACTGTTGTAATTCAAACATGATTAACATTGTATGATATACCTATGGCTATATAACAATATACTTTTACTTTTGATTTATAGCTCTTTAACTTTGTAAATTAAATTAAATATAACTATATAATTAAGAATATATAATACATAATATTATATTATTATTCATTACTCATTAGTCATTAGTAATAAAATGTAAAAGAAATATGATACACATTTAAATATTCGATATTAATTAGTTTTATTGATATATTTTATTTATTGGCTTATTGCCTTATAATTTATTAAATATAACTTTGGTGTCTAGTAAAGTATACTTAGTACCTATAGTACAGTATATTAAAATTAAATTATTATTGTTAATAACTAACTAATTAGTCTATTAATAGACATAATACTTCTATGTTCTACGCTATATTACAATTAGTTTTAACCGTTATTCAATATTTTTTAATTAGTAATTGGTTTATTTACTAGTCAAGTAAATAAAATATAAGCAAATACGAGATACTATTTACGTTTCATCTGTGTAACCAAAAATCAATAATTTCACGATTTTTAGAAATATTCCAAATTTCATAAATACGCCATGAGTCATGATCCATTTACTAATAATAATGTTTACACACGAGGGTATACGAAAATTGGACTGTGTGCATAAACGCCATAAACTCTTCACTTGTACGATTATACATAGGCTGCACCTGTATACTACGTTTTATCGTAAAATAATATGTACCTTTACTACCTAGTACCTACCAATTGTGATTTGTTGAAAAATCAAAAAAATCTACCCAGTGTATGTCAAATCCACGATATTGAAGTGATGGCGTGGTGCAAAATTATTTTTTATTGAAGCGGTTAGGGCCCTGTTTGTATTAAATCAGGGACCAGGAAACTCAAATATTATATTATATAATAGTCAAATATGCATCTCAAAAGACAACAAGGAGGCCTCATCATTATTAATATTCTAAACGTCAAATTATGTAGGCCGTTTTGAGTATAATATATGATAATACGATATGTATGATATTATTAGGTCGTAGGTACCCCGTTTAGAAATCAAAAACCATCGTTTAAACTGATTTTTTTTACAGTTTTCTGTTCGTGACGTTTTGGTTTTCTATACCAATATCATGACCACAGCGAGAGATAAAAAAAAGTAATAGACGATGTTTTATTGAAGGCGGTTTTGGTTTGGGCCCGATAAGACGTTTTATCTACCTGGACAAGTCGTGCTGCGCGTGCAAAGCACACCGCGAGTAAAAAGACCGTCGCCTTTACCTATATAATAATGGTCGCGCATCATAATAATATAGTACTCGTGTTCCTATAAATATAACTATATGAACTGCAGTATATATATAGTGTACCTATATATCAGTGGCGTAGCCAGGATTTTTCTTCCGGGGTGGGGGGGAGGGATCAACTTTTACAGATAGATAGCTGTGAAGTGTTAATACTTATAGTAAATTTTTAAATATTTTAAATACAATTTAAGACTTTTTGAGCGACTATCATAGACCATTGAAATAGTTTTTTTTAATTTTCTTAACATTTCGAGGGGGATTGCTGCAGCTATGCCACTGCTTTATATGTATGCTGCTGCACATAATATTATTATTATATTCCGTACGTACCTCTCATCGTGAACGACGACGACGGTCGGCAGTTATAAAGTGCGTGTATATGATATTATAATAATATGAACACGGAGACGTCGGATGAGCAGCGGCAGCAGCACTGCGCGGCGGCCCTGCAACAACAGCAGCTGCACGCACCGAATCCGCGGACGAGCTGGACCCGACGGTGACCTGGAGAAGATCGCGCGCGCGCCACAGGTGGTCGACGGTGGCGGCGATGGCGGTGACTTCGATCAGCGGATCCGCCGGTCCATGAGGTGGCACAGCACTATATTATTATAATAATATTTAATAACAGTGTGATATCGATAATGCGCGATAATATTATATAATACTGTTGAGTCGGACTCGATTTTCAAGCGAATATTGGCATTAGTTATTACTAATACGATACGTTTGATACGCGTTTATAGTGCTCGCAATAATTACAATCGTAATAATATTATATTATAACAGTTTAACCATCAACATGAGACGTGATAAGCGCGCGCGCGAACACCGATCGCGTTCAGTTCCGAGACCGAAGAGACCGGACGAAGCGCATCACACTAGGACCCACTGGGCGGGCGGAATGACTACGAAGAGATAAATAAAAAAACGCGCGCGCACACGCGACTTACACTGCTGGCGTACTTACATATTACGATCATACCACCACCGAAACGCGTACGAATGACGACGACGATGACGGCGACGACGATGGTGGCAACAATATTAATAATAACAACATTAGTTTTGTTTAAGATTTGCTGCAGTGCTGCTCATCATCACACACGCCGACGACGACCGCGCGCGACTTTCAGGATAATAATATTAAAAAAATATATCAATACAATTTGTGGCGAGTGTGCGTTTCGAACAATTAGTATTTTTTTTTTTTTTTTTTTTAATTTAACACCGATTGAGTATGCAATAAACATCGACGACTATTGTAGTGAGTATATAGTGATGACGAGCTTCAGCCGCTTTGATGAATACAAAGTGACCTATTGACGTATTACATAATAACAATTTAATACCAGAATTGAAAATTAAGACCCAAACAAACATTTGCAGTCTGCCATTATATTATGTTTATAGTTGTCAAGAAACCAGAAAGCAAACATTTAAAATTATTTTTTTGTTTAGAGTAAGCGAATAAAAATATATTATGAATCGTTAAGTACCTAGCCGCACAGAAAGACTCTGAATATGATATATATATTATATACCTACTCTGCAGGCACCTACAAAATTTTCCGAAATTAGAGGTGAACAATAAGTTATTAACGCATGCGCGGGGACGAATATGGTTAAACGGTCGGTGCACATGTGTCTCGGCGCTTGCTCGTCCTCGTATATATGCGCTCGCCTGAAGCTTATATACGCTGTTCTTCCACACACATCCTGCCCAAAACTTTAAAATGTAAATTATATTGTTTGAACACGTATATAAGTATAATGGAAATTAGTAATTCTACGTTCGCAATAATCGCATAAATAAGTTCTATATAATAGTATTATATACCTATACGCAGCTGCAGGCTAAGTCAGGTAGGTATCAGCCTTCTTAATTTGTACAAAAAAATATATCGGCGGAGACAAACCTGTGTTGTGTGAACTGTTACATCCATCATATTATACAACTATAATTTACATGTAATTAAATCTATAATAAAGTACATTACACCAGTACCTATAAGCAGTGGCGTGGTGAATGGGGTTTTATGCCGCCTAGGCGTCATAGTGGAATTTTTTTTTGGGGGGTGGGGTGGTTGGGTACATCATGGTAACCAATAACATACAACAAAAATTAAAATATTTACAGTTACATAATAATTATAGGTACTCTATATATTATATTAAGGGAATAAAGAGCGAGTAGGTACTGAAATATATGTTGGGCATCAAGGTTTATAAATGTTCACCACGCCACTGCCTATAAGAGCTTATAATATTTTATTTTATATGCAAATTATATATTAGTTATAACTGTACCGGACACTTCGGTCCTCGGTACTCTGCCTGTAAATATATCTAATAATATTAATATGTATATATATATATATATAATTAGGTATAGCTACATATTATATGTGTGGTCCGTGTATGGTGTCAGCTATTTTGTTTATCAGCGGATGGTGTGCCACATGCGTTTTTCAGATTAAAAAAACAACTTTGATAACGTGCATAAAATATATAATAATATGAGAAAGTGATAAATCATGTTAGCTGCTCGGAGGGGGACGATTTACTGGGTAATGAACTATAATGTATAATAATTTCAATAACTTTATAACAAGCTGATCGATATAATATTGTTATTCGTTATTGATGTAGTAAAATGTTGTACGAATAATAAACAGACTACGGTTGCGGTGGAAGCTGAAAAAAAATTATACATAGTTATTAGTATAAATTATATTATGTAACTCAGTCGACTGAACTTAATTAACGTTTATTACAATTTTTTGCTAATAAGTGGACAGTCAAACGCCACTGCACGTGCGTAATTTTGTTATTGTAATAATATTATTACTATAGTCCAAACTCTACGGGCATGTGGACAAATATTAAGCTCAGTGACTTATCTGCGGAAGTCCCCTTCCCTGACCATTATATACTACAAATATTACACCTCCAGATGAACCAATATATATATATATTACATATATTATATTCATAGGCATAAATGGCTAAGAAAAAAAATTGGGATACTGGAGTCCATAGATCATATTAATATTGAGAAAACAACTTAGCTATATAACTAAACATATACTTATTAATGGTCTAATTATTAATAAACATATTTTAATGAATCAATAGTGCGATAACAAGGTTCTTTAAACATGATTTAGTGGCGATAATTGGTACATTAAATTTTACTCAACCATCAAATCAATACATTTTTCATTCAACCCGGTATATTAGTGTATGAGTATTTAATTTGTTTAAATTGCAATATGAAGAGATTTTTAATATAAATAATTATTATTGACTTAATTTTACGAACTTCAGACAACAATGATAAATATATATATTACCTATGGGTACTTTATGGGGTTTGATTTGGTGGTAATTATGTTTCGGGTATTCGGATTTCGGGCAGGTGCAAATAGCATAAATTATCTAAGAGTATTAAATAATTTCAACAAAGTATAGGGCGAAAAAATGATGTTATATTTAGTATGTACCTACCTATAACATATTATACATATTAGGTATTCAAAGGTATGATACTATAAATAAGCCTGTTTTATACTTAGCTAGTTATATGTAGGTATTCGATATGAATTCCTTGTAGTGAAACGCTGTATAGCAATATGGTGGTACTCAGGACTCTATATAAAATTCAAAACTATATAAAAAAATATAATTTTTTGAACCTTGAGCTATAGGGTGTCAATATTCGGGTAAGGGGAAGGTTAATCTAACAGCCATTGTATTTTGACATATACCTACGGGACATTTGATGTATTTTGGACCTTCACCCTTTCAAATACAAATTTTAAACGAACAATCATAACAAGCGTCCAAAATTGTATAATGAGCAATGACGTGTATACAACTGCTGCAGTCTACCTATAAACTTGAGCATTTTCTGCAGTAGTTCAAGGGCTCTGACTGTATTTAACCCAGCCACCAGGTCCGTATACGTTAGAGGAGGGGGTTTAAGGGGTTAAACCCCTCCCCTTACAACATGGAAAGTATGTAAATGTATTTACAAACATTTAAAACTACTAAAATATTTTAAAGTATTTTTTTATTACTTTGATGAAACCTTTCCGCCCAGTCACCACCACCAATATTAAATTTCTGTCTACGGCACGTAAACAAATTGCACAGTACAATATTCTTCCAAGTGGCATAGCATCACTGGTGTTTCTTAGCAGCCGTGTACACATCCAAATACGGAGTTGGGTTCATTATACAATAACTTATAAAAACAATAAAGTGCAGTAGTGTGATGCATCATTATTATGAACCACGCGATGATAATTAAACGTATCTCCGACTTAAATTTTATAAATGATAACATTCCCGCGAACCGTGACGTTCCAAGGAAAATACTTTCCACGTACTATATTATTATAATATTATCATCATTTATATAAATGAAGTATCGGTATGATGGCACTGCATGGGTACCTCTGCTATAGTCAGATAGTCTACTGTTAATTTAAAAAAAAAATCTGTATGATAATATTATGATACATCGGTTATTGTTCAATAAACACTAAACAGTCGGCGGAATCAACATAAACAAATATCTGCGGCGGAATCGATAAAACCCTTTTACTTTGCCGATCATTAGGAATTTAAAATGTTGGCATGATGTCTGACTGTACCTCATTATACAAAAACGAATGTTCCAACACAAATATAATATTGATAGGTACCTACCTATGCTTTAATAATTTTGTTATCTGTATTAAAACATATATACCTAGTATATAATGGTATAGGTATAGATTATAGGTACATAATCTCTATAGCATGTAATTTGGTTCATTGAAAAATCAATAAAATTGGCCATTAATATTACTAAAGAGAAGGAAAGTAGCCTGCAGTAGGTAACAACTGTTCTACTGAATCTACTGTACAGCAGGGACTAAAATTGTGTGTAGTACGACAGACACACTATGAGTAATACGAAATGTGGAATACGAAATAAAAAAAGTGTGTGATGGCCTGTACCAACAGTAAATTTTTTTACAGTTTTTTCTTCAATTGAAAAATTATTTGATGTTACATAGGGAAATAGACAGATAAGAATTTAATGGATCTTATCTATGTTATCAATATTTTGATTTATTTTATTTGAACCATGAACTAAGATAATAATATTATGGACTGGAAACGACATGGTCGGCGGGTGTGGGGGATCTTGTCCGGCCTTCGTACGGATTTTCTATAATATTTATATTATAAATTTCAAACATTAGCAATATAATATTTTTTTTATACTAAGTAAAAATTAAATCTCCGAAATAAAATTTTACGTTTCCTAATAATATTTTGACG